GCTCAAGATTATTTAACTATGAATACATATATTTGACTATGAATAAGCCTGTTTCGGCCTTTAGGCCTGAAAACTTAAGCTGTGGCCTGAGGTTCTCAGCTAATGGGCAACTGTAAAACATCCCCACGTTTCTAAACTCCCTGTTTACAGATAAATACTGTCAAACAGCACACATGTAGGGCAGTTAAACTAAATTATGTCTTCTCTAATTTTACAGGGTCAACTAGGTAGAGCAAGAAGAGACAACAGGTAAGTTGTACCGAAGAGATGGCTGGAAGCTATTCCAGCCCCCAAAGGGAGGAGCAAAGAAACTGCACCGAGACAGAGGGGAACTCAGTCCTCTTTTGTCACAGCAGTATTTTTACCAGTCACTATTAAAAATATCTTTAAAAAAGAAAATAAGACATATATTCAGAAGAGTATCTAAAGAATACACACTATACATCTACAGAATAAATTAGAATACTCTCTTATAAACCAATATACTACTGAAACACTTAAACATAGGGTACTTTAATTAAAGTAAAAAAACTATCCAATTCTTCAATACAGGTAATACAGGATACAACTATGAAAAACGCACTCTGGTTAAAGTGGTATAAATATGCCACATGTAACGACAGAAGAATGTTGACTATATTGTTTTTGGGCTCATAAGCCAGATAAAAGGTTTGGGAACCACTGCTACAATGTATATACATAATACTTAATACAATCACAAATACACTCTATCTAATCCATCTATATGGGCGACATAAACACAATACTCTGCATGGCATATTCTATAAATAATAAATGTTATGTGAATCTTGCAAATTCCGTGCACAAGTTAGCCCATTCCTGTACATGACCACTACTTCTTTAAACTGCACAGCTCTTCCATTATTAATTCAGATATGCTGCACATATTTTATTAGAGTAGGCCCCTATTTTATTATTAGCTTCTACTTTATATCATGGTTTATTGTCCTTTCTTTCATTCCACATGTGTTATCTTGAGTGTATTTTATAATATATAATTGTATATGTTATTTTGTATTTATTTTATTTTGTCAATGCTTGCTTTCATCTAATTTGTCTACTACATTGATGATTTTATGCACCAAAATCCCCAAGCGTCTATATGTGAAAATATACTTGGCAATAAACCAGTGGAATTCAGTCTTTAGTGAAAATACTCAGGTGAAAATGTAGACATAGATTTGAAAGATAGACAATGATTAATCTCATGTAGTAAATTAATATGCACGGGAACACTATATGGAATCCAGTATAACACCACAGTTTCTAGTGAGCAGCATTATTAACTGTTTCTTCAGAGTTGTCTTTATCTGCCAGATTTAAGAGTCGTGACTGTGTGGGTTCAGGAAAAGAAGGACTCTGACTGACTGTGATCATTGCCAAGATTGAAAGTCTCCCACAGCCACATGCATAGAATAAGATGAGGATTTAAGGTAACGCAATCTACATACCAATGTCAGCACATAGTATGTAAATACAATCTTAGCAAGGGACAGTTCATGTAAATAAATCCCATTTACAACACATAGCCAGTTTCACATCTCCTGCAGCCTGCTGGCAGACACCCCCCCATGCCCCCCTTTTCCACACTTGCAAACAAAGTGTTCCCTTTTGATTTCCAGGCTACATCTGCATTTGTTTAACACCCAAAGTGTTTAGGAGAAGTGTTTATCTCATGCATATTACAGCCTCCAGGGTGGGTATGATTAAAACGTTTGCTTGAAACTTTAGGGGCTGCAGGATATTTTTCACCCACCTCTGGCTCCCTCTTTGTCTCTCCCTGTTTGAATTGTCAATTTCTAAGTTTTGTCTGTTGGTTTTTACACATATGCTGGTTTTGCATCCATAACATAATTGTTGTTGATGAGTCAACTCTGTTAAAAAAAAGGTTATGGAATTTTGAGATGTAAATACACTTTTTATAATAATCAGGTGTGTTTATTTCTGCTCTGTGCTTGGTAAGTGACATATTGTGTATTTCTCATTAATATTTGAGCTTATTAATGAAAGTACACAAATGTGCACTGCATCCTGCTTCTTACTTAAGTGTTGAGGTTTCTTATACAGAAATGTAGAAACAAATGTCATCATTTTCAAAAGCAAAACCTTTAAAAAGAGCCATTTTGCCCCCTTTGCCACCAAAAAAAAGTATATAAGACACCTTATTCAGTTTTACACATAGTTATACTATATAAACACAACATAGTTAGTTGTTGTTTGTTTTCTAAGGTCGCTGGTCTAAAATGTAGGATGAGCCACCTCCAGGGAAAAGGTGACAGGAAAGAAAGTTGTGACACAACTGTTAGTAATATTATTTTCACATTTTCCTTGAAACTCCAAGATAAAAGGCACTGCTTTCAAACAAATGTCAACTGTTATTTAGTGGCATGTTATATTTTGTCAAAGCTAGGGAGTCACTATAGAGGGGCGCTAGAGCCGCGGGTTGCCTATCCCTGCTCTTTTCAGGTCTTTTTTTGTGGCAAAGCAAAAACACTGGAGAAAATTGTGGGAGTACAAAGTAAAAGAACATTCATGTGAAAACAGAGCTCCCAGGCAAACACTTTTACACGTAGTTTGTTATTTTCTGTACACAGACAATGTTTTGTTGTTCTTGTTGGGTGGATGGGGCCTCTCTGTGGGGCCCCTGGGGATATTCAATTCGCAACAATAATGGAAAGGCTTGTCACTTTGTACTTCGATATTTTTTTGAATCACAGTGAAAATTATGTATGTATATATGTTGTTAATTCAGCCTTTGAGTCACAGTCTTGCATCACACACTCAACTTTTCCAAATGATGGAAGGGAGTGTCCTCTGTCTTGGATAAAAACAAAAAAGAGGAACAAACTGTCCATGTTAAAGTTACCCACTTTTTAAGTATAGATAACATATATTAGGGGTTACATTCATTTTCCATGTGCAGAATAAAGGTTCCACAATTACTATAGATTGAATTCGCATAATGAGGAAAACAGCATTATCACCACATGATAACATGACCTAGCTAACGTTAGCTTACATTAGAAATAATGTTTGAAACGCAAAAACACCAAGGCCACTACGTTGCTACAGTCAGAAAAGGCATATTTAAGGCAAACATTTACATAAGCGTCTACATAAGTGAGACAAGCAACGGCTAATTAAGTTAATAAGCTAACTTTAGCTAGTCGTTGTAAAATCCTTCTGTTGACATGGTTGACACGAATACAACAAAAAAAGAAAAAAGGAATTACGCCGTAAACATTTAAAGTTGTTTCAAATAAGTTAGTTGACCGGGAGAAATTGAAGTTTTAACAGAGTGACAATAATAATGTGGTAGATACATAAATGAAAGCATTTCTTCATTTCATTTATTTACGAAAAAGGATGGGGCGACGATTCCCGTGAAAACACCGGTTTCGTCAGAAGAACATCCGGGTCACTCATCAAAAAATCTGATGCAAGCTTCAACACCACCTTGTAATCATGGGGCTTGTAACAAGAGGAGCTAAACAGCAAACTGACATTTTTTATTTAAGCAGAAGACGTTATATAATTAATTGAATTAAGTACAACTTTTTGTAAAACATTTAAATACTCTTATTTAAGTAAAATACATTAAAGGTCTCACTTAATAACAACAAAGTATGAGCATTAAGTTCCACATTGTGAAAGTAAGAAACGTATTATGCAGACAGCCCATTGCAGAATATATGGGCCACATAATGGCACTTTTTAATAATTATAAGCATTGCTTTAATGTTGCATCTTGAAAAGGTGGGGCTTATTTTTAACTAATTTAAATACAGCCCGGTATTAGTTATAATTTATTGGTTGACTTATATTTAGTCTGAATGATATTAATCTTTAGAGTAACTGAAGTTATCAAATACATGTATTTGATAAAGATATTGGCTCACAAAACTGCAGGGGAATACAATTAAGTACAAGTATGAGTTATTATAAAATGGAAATAGTCAAGTAAAGTACCTCAAAAGTGTACTTTTGTGATAAGTACAGGGTGGTGAAAAAACTTGTACTTGAGTCAATTAACTTTATACAATGTTATACCACACTTTTATAAGTACATGGACTACCTTTTAGAAATAAATGTACTTATAAAATACAATGCATTGTTACAGTAACTTGAACCACACAGCGTCCAAATAAATAAATAAAAAACTTTCCCGAAGCCATTAAAAGGCATCTTAAATATAATATAATAGTATTATATATAATAATTTAACAAGCGCAAAGCATCTATGGCTGTACGGTATGTACCTTTATACTTATAGAGTAATAAACTTACTTGATAAAATGTTTCCTAAAGTATCATTTTGAATGGAGTTTTACTTGTAACAGAGTTATTTTCCAATCATTGTATTGCTACTTTCCCTCTTTATATAACATGCAGGTTTAAAACTGCTTATTTAATTAAAAACTGTTTATTTTACTGTCACAAAGTTTATTTCCATTTTGACTGCTCAAATATCACTTTTGCCATCTAGTGGCTGAAGAGAGGAATTGAAGCCATTCACTGTATGTCCAAAACCCTTGGAAGAAGGTATTCATTGCATATTGTATTAACAATCCAGTACAAAAAGTATGTAAATGTATTAAAAGTCCAAAAGTGGGTCATGAAAACATTCCCACAGCTCAAACACAATATGTGTGATGTACATCCTCTGCAGACAAATAAACTTTGTGACACAAAAACAAAAACCTCCTCGTGTATCCAAAGGCGCTTTCCTTGTTGGGTGGTTTTCATCCTACAATTACATATCAGTTTTATATTGCTGATTCTGGTATTTCTTAGAGGCAATACTCTCTAGATCTAAACAAATAAGTATTATGTGTGTTTGTAATCTTGTTGTGTAATATTATCCTTCATATTTATATGTCTGTTTGATTTAGCTTATTTGTATCTATTCATGTATTATATTTACACAAAATGATAATATATATATATTTTCTAAAAGATAAAAAGACAGACACCTCACTCAGATTTGACAGATTTTAGTTTTGCTCTGTAAACAAACTTGATCATTTACCCAATAAAATATTAAGTAAACATATTTAACATATTTGTACATCTCACACATTTTCAATACAGAGAAGTTAAATACATTATTGCATCTGTTTAAATCATATTTTTACAATCAGAGTGCACTTTTAACAAACGCCACAAGTCAAAGAAAGGCTGACGGATTAAAAACACGTCAAATCCACATATTCTTCTATGAAACATAATTCTATTGGCAAGTCAAAGTTCTTGGCACTTCCTGGAATCTGGATTGGATTATAAAACACCTCTAGAAAGATCATTTACGTCAAGTAAAAGGCTTTTGGTGTATTATTCTGTGTGGAAAGTGATTCTTTTGGTCCGTTTGAAAACAGACACAGCTGTGAACAAAGCAGCTGAAATTACAGGGTTTAAAAGCACTTCATCCTTTTTCGTCATACGTCTGGTTGCTTCATAAAACAAATGGTCCCATTTCATTTATAGCTAAAGAAATCTTATAAAATCCCACAACAAGATCACCCACATTTGTTTTGGTCTCACCTGAGGTGCTGTACAGTTCATGTAATATAAATGCTCATGTGAGTTTTTCCAACAGTATACAGTATAAGTGAACAAGTATCCCTGATTCCTAATGTATTAGTAAAGGCAGTGAATATCCAGCAAATCATACTTAAATGTGCGTAAAGTTAGATGTTGATGTATAAAACTGCTTATAGTCTTTGCTGGGTTTATAGTACAAAAGAGTTCAAATGCTCACCTGAGAATACGTGTTCTAAAATAGTATTGATAAAAGTTCTCCATGAAACTATCCTGGTCAACCATTACATTTCGTCAGTAAACGTTCCATTCTTCATAGTTGTGAAGTGAATATTGCATTCCTATATTTGGTATACATTGAGAGAGTAGAACTCTATGTTTTTCTGGGTTAAAATGTACCCAACAGTCTTTCAAAGCTGTACCGCGTGTGCCCCTTTTGTTTGTGATGTTGTTTGTATTGGTCTGAGTGTTTATGTTTTATGTAGCGATTGACATGCTCCTTTCTTTCTCAATCTCTGCTCTCTCGTCCTCGGTATTGGCCCACGGCTGGATCTCCCCGCTGCCAAATATGGTGTAGACGAGAGCCCCCCCCACGTTGATCCCCGCTGACACCCAGAACACCTTCATCCAGCCCGCCATGGTGTGCTGACAACCACAGAAGAAGAGATGCATCACCAGATGTATTCCAATACCACTACTAATTACCTGTGGTCAGTAACCTATTCCAACTATCACAATAGTACTATAACCTGATTATAACATTGGGATTACCAAAAATAAAAGAAATATAAGAGTAATGTTATTTCACAGAAGAAATCAGAAAAGATGAAAACAGTACAGTGCCTTCTAGTTGCGAAAATGCTGTAATCACATAAGGATTGAAAAAATAAATGTATATATACAAACTATAACGGAAAATAATGAACTTTAATATCTGTATTTTTTTTATTTAGAATTGTGTTAAAAAAATAAATATATATAAAAGTATAATATATTAGTTAAAGGGGGCATTTTCTGCATTGAGTATTTAAACTTTGAATGCCTACATATTTAAAAAACATTTTACTATATATATATATATATATATATATATATATATATATATTTATAATTAGTAAAAGATTTTAACCGGTCAAATATTAGCACAGTTCTAAGTTTATTAGTTTAGGTATAAAAAGCCTATATTGAATATAGCCTTTTTCTTAAAAATACGATTAAATGTGACATTTCTCTTCATGTCTCTCGTTCCCACTCAATATATAAATATATATACATTTACAATATTATATATGGTAACTTAAGTAACTTTATGACTATTTATTTTAAGACTTACACCCTCAGTGAAGTATCCTGTAGCAATCGGGGCCAGGACTCCAGGAATGGTCCCGAAAGTGTTGCTGATTCCCAAAAGGAATCCTGCATATCTGCAAAGACAGTGAAAGAGCAAGACGTTATCAGCCAGAAATGTTATATTTTCCATACGGCCAGATTATATTTATTACATTTAATTTATCACACATACGGTATGTACGTTTATGAGTAAGCTGGAACGAAACAGGAATATTTAACAGAGACTTACTTGGCAACCGTTCTGATAATTCATTCTTCAAGTACAAACCAGTAATATAAAAGATTCCAAATAAACAAAGTCTCTTTAAGTAATGTGTATACAAGGAGGGAACTTGGATTGTAGCCTTTGAAGAAAACCTATATAACACACTGCAGGAAAGGGAAACCCCAAAACGCATATGAGGACCACTTAAAACTGAGGTGTAAATGGCTAAATTAGTGAGAAGTGAAGGTGTAGGGCAGTAACACCCACCGTGGAGCGATGTCTATCTGGTTGATATTGACCCCGGGGGCGGTGAAGCCTCCAAGGGTGGTGGAGAGCGTGAGGAAGGTGACGGTGAGGATATGGTTGCAGCCAGCGAAACTCACAGCCACGAGGAAAGCTGCCGGGAGCATCAGACCTGCACCAGGAGGGAGTCAGGAGAGGAAGGAAACCCAGTACAGGCTCAGAAAACATCACTGGGGTTACTGGTTCTGTCTTTTTAATATTTGGATTTGACCAGAGGTGGAATGGAGATAAAGTCCTCTACTTAATTTAAAGTTTGTAGGTACTTTTATCTAATCAATCTTAAAGCTTTAGTTTCTTAACTAAATAGTTGCAATTAAAAAGAGTGCACAGTGCATACATTCATATGTGAACTACACATGAGCGATCTGAGAGGAAAAGTGTCTTTTACCTAATAGTGTGAAGAGCTTGCGTACGACGGTGATGCTGAACACCTCCCTCTCGATGAGGCTGTCTGCCACCACACCCGACAGCATCGACATCAGCCAGCCCCCGAGGTACGGCAGAGCGGACAGGAAACCATTCTGGAGACAGACAGAGACATTACATGAGTGTTCAGCGGAGGATTTGATAGTAAAGCAAGCATGTTTGTCTTTGTCAAGTATCAAGAGATGTGCATGTAAGTGTTCAGAAACAGAGACAAAAAGGTGAGGACACCTGGGAAATGATTAAAGAAAGAGCTTTAAGAACACAATTATTGTCTTTCTTGCTGAGAGTTTGATAAGATTGACACCACCCTCTCAGCCAGCAGCTTGGTCGCTTAGCTTAGCATTAAGACTGTAAACGGGGGAAAACAGCCAGCACCAGGACGGCGCTGCCATCCATGGAGGACCTCTACACCCAGCGGCTCAGGAAGAAAGATTATCAAAGACCCCCATCACCCCAGCCACAAACTGCTCTGACTGCTGCCGTCTGGCAGGCGGTGCCGCAGCATCAGGACTAAAACCACCAGACTCAGGGACAGTTTCATCCCACAGGCCAGAAGACTATTACACACCTGAACTTGCACTGTTTTTATTTAAATATTTGATTACGTTGCACTATTGAGGAACCTGTGATCTCAGTTCTTCCTACATTACACCGTAGTTGTGTATATGTTATGAAAATAAACCTTTGAATCTTGATCTCTGACTAAGGTATACAAAATCTGCACTTATTTGGAAAAAAGCAAGTTTAAACATGAATAATGATAAATATAAAAAACATGACTTATTTTTAAGATATATAGTATTTCAACCATACATTTCCATCAATATGTAAAAACTGATTTCCATATTTATATCATCATCATATTTAAATTCCTATATAAATCAAATCAAGTTTTATTTATAAACGATTTTTGGTCGAGCCAAAGTGCTGTACATATAATAAAAATAGCCTACAGTAGAGACACTTTACAGCAAACACAATAAGCACAGAGTGTTCAGAATATCAGTATGAGAAAAACGACACCCTCTATCCGTAGACCCTCACATCGTACAAGGAAAAACTTCCAGAGAAAAACCCACCACACACACACACGACTTATCGGGCTATAAGCATTTCTAAAGCCCAATAATTGATATGTTTAAAGTGGAGATTGTAATTACTTTGCTCAAGCTCAGTTATAAACTGGGCTGAGTGCTAGAAAACATCTAGCATTGATTAAAATCCGAAGAGAAGCATAATATTTGTACTTTTGGAAAGGGCAAGCTAGGTTTCATTTTAGTAAAACACACAACATTTTCAGTAAATAAGGGTGAAGTGTCCCTGACACATATGGACAGAAGATTAAAAATGATATTAACGATAAAGCGCTATTTAAAGGAAATGGAAGAACAATTAATAGAAAGCTCACTGATTTGATGTCAAAGTGCATGACGTTGTCCATGTAGGTGGGCAGGGAGGTGAGCAGGGTGTAGTAGGACCAGTTGGAACACATCTGGGTGATGGTGATGGCCCACAGAGGGACCGACATGGACATGGACAGCAGGGGAATGGACCAGCCATGACTTGTACCCTGCACACACATCACACATCCTCAGACAAGCTGCAAGCTTTATTTATATATGTACAAGCTGCAAGCTGACGAAATTGTGCATTTAAGCAACAAAAATGGACTACGTATTTTTCATCTGAACACTAACAGCCTGAGACACAAATTGGCTGAACTGAGGCAGCTATTCATGAACGGTAAGGCAAGCATATTATGCTTTTCTGAGACCAAATTTGACAATTCCATTACAGATTCAGAGATTGAAATTGAAGATTATCTTGTAGTGAGAAGGGACAGGAACGTGAATGGAGGTGGTGTCTGCATGTACATACATAAAGACACCAATTTCAAAAACCGTACTGACCTGCATCATGAAAATATTGAATCTGTGTGGGTTGAAATTCTTTTTGACAATGCTAAATCTGTAATAGTCGGGACAATCTATAGACCACCGGAACAGAGTGACTTTTATGATACATTAGATGGATGTTTGGCTGATGTGGGGGATGTAGAGACAATTATTATTGGAGACTGGAACACGGATATGCAACGTAAAGACACGTCCGTCTTCAAGTCCTTCAGTAGGATTTGTGATCTGCACGGCTTCAGCCAGCTAATCACCCAACCCACCCGGGTATGTGAAACAACACAAACTACCATTGATCTCATTCTGACCTCTGACAAGTCCAGGATCTCCAGTAAAGGGGTTATAGCATGCGGGTTAAGTGATCATTATATGATATTCTGTACCCGCAAAAAGCTAAAACAAAGGGCCGGCTGTCACAAAACAGTCATATCTAGAGACCTCAAAAACTACTCTAGCGAGGCCTTTAACCTAGAACTGGAGAGCCTGGACTGGTCAGATGAGCTCGGTGGTACACAAGTTGAAGAAACATGGCTTGGTTTCAAAAACAAATTCTCTGCAATACTCAATGATTTGGCCCCCCTAAGAACAACCAGGGTAAAAAATCGCGCTGAGCCGTGGATGCACTCCGGCATACTGACCGCCATGAAAACCAGAGACAAAAAATGCTCTGAGTTTCATAAAAGTCAGTCAATGCTTTCCAAAAGCACGAGCAGTGAACTCCAGGCCCACGTGACTGAACTCAAAATTGAAAGAAACAGACTAAGAAATGACGTAAGCTCCATGATCAAAACTGCCAAAAAGAATTTCATCAATGTCAAAACTGAGGAAAACTAAAATAAACCCCGTGAACTTTGGAAATTACTCAATAACCAGCTTGGCTGCAGTAAAAAACTCAAAATGAGATTTTCTAACTTAAACATAAAGACAGATAACAGGCTCATCATAGACAAACTGGATGTGGACAAGTACTTGAACATTTTTTTCACAAACATAGCCACAACTCTTGTAAATAAATTACTCTCCCACTCAGGGCTTTTTGGAGTAGATCACATCATGACCTACTACAAAAACCTAGGGGAACGCAAAGATGATTTCAGTCTAGCAAGGGTAACAACAGCAGAGGTACTCATTAAACTGAGCGCCCTCCAACCTAACAAGGCCACTGGCCACGACAATATCCCCTCCAAATTCCTCAGAGACACAGCAACCGCCATCTCACCAGTCATAGCTCACATAATTAACCTCTCCATAAAACAGGGAAAAGTACCCAAAGACTTCAAAATTGCAAGAGTAACAAAAAGGGCAGCAAATTGGACCCAGGCAACTACCGCCCTGTTTCTATACTTACCTCCATCTCGAAAGTCATGGAAAAAAATAGTATATGAACAGGTTGAAAAGTACCTCGCGGAAAATAAACTAATCTATGAATTTCAATCTGGATTTAGAACATCCCACTCCACTGACACATGCCTTCTTTATTTGAGCGACCACATCAAACAAGAGGTGGACGAGGGAAAATACTGCGGCATGGTGATGCTGGACCTACAAAAGGCTTTCGACACTGTCAATCACCCCATTCTGATTGACAAGCTAAAAGCAATTGGTTTTGATAAACTATCGGTGAGCTGGATGCAATCCTACCTGGAGGGGAGAGAACAGGTGGAGGTAAACGGTACTCTGTCCCCCCCCCCCTCCCAGTGAGCTGTGGTGTTCCACAAGGAAGCATATTAGGTCCGTTACTGTTCCTAATTTATGCAAATGACATGTCATCAGCATGTGACTGCAACTTGTTCCTGTTCGCGGACGACTCAGCCCTGCTGGTCTCTGACAGGAGCAGATTGCAGGTTGAAAAAACCCTCAGCTCCGAGCTCGGCAGAATCTGCACCTGGCTTGCCGATAATAAATTATCATTACACCCGGGTAAAACAGAGTCCATTCTCTTCGGTTCGAAACATAATCTCAGCAAATCCGACGACTTCTCAGTTGCAGTGGGCGACATTATTGTCACAAGTAAGAAGGAAATTACATACCTAGGATCTATTCTTGAGGCAAACCTCTCCTGTGACAAAATGGCATCCAATGTAATAAAAAAAGTCAATCAAAGAACTAGATTCCTATACCGGATCTCCTCTCTGGTAAACAAAAACACCCTGAAAACTCTGGCAGGAGCACTCATTCAAGGGTACTATGACTATGCTTGCACGTCATGGTACCATAGCACCTCCAAGGCGCTAAAAATAAAACTTCAAACATCGCAAAATAAACTGGTCAGACTACTGCTTGACCTTTCATCTAGAACCCACCTCACCTCTGCCCACTTTGACAACCTAGGATGGCTTAGAGTAGACGACAGAGTACAGCTACTTGCAATGGGCCTGGTCTACAAGATCCACTACACCTCTATGGTACCCATGTACATGTCAAAATTCTTCCCAAAGGTCAAGGAATACCATGATCATAACACCAGAGGGAGCTCCACAAATCATGTGAAACCCAGATTTGGCACAAAAAAGGGGGAATACACGTTTCGCAATTATGCCACATCAAGGTGGAACGCTCTTCCCACAACTGTAAAGGAAAGTAAAACTATACTTACCTTCAAAACCTCTCTTAAAGAGCACCTTCGGGGGAGAGCATTGCAAAACTGGCCCCGGTAATGGTACAAATCTCAACCTGTCGTTCAATGGACAGCTTCCCCCCCCCCCCATCTATGTATATACTCGCATTTTAGACTCTGTTACTAACTGTATATCTGTAGACTTGGTATGTCTTAAATGTCCGGTTAGGATGTATTAGAACGAAATCTAAAAGGAAAATTGTAAACAAGCAATCTGTATGTAAAAAACCACCTGTATGTAAATTGTAAATAAGCCATCTGTATGTCAAATATGTCTTATATGTCTTAAATGATGATGAATTGGAAATGGGGGACCCTGATGTAAACAAGACGAAAGTCTTTCTCTGGTCTGCATCCCCTTAACAATTGTATGTTTTGAGCTGTACTGTACTGTACCCAATATACAAGCTGTTAATAAACTTTTCAATCAATCAGACAACACTTCAGACAGTGAATAATGTCCACAACATTGATATCATGATGAGTGGTGGGTAGAGAAAACAAAAAAAACTGTACTCAAGTAAAAGTATTGTTGCTTTATCATTATATTGATCAAGGTAGAAGTCTTATCTCCTGCTGTCGAACAACTGCTGTGGGATCAGCTACATATAAAAGCTGTTTATAGCTATATGTATGAATAAAAGTCTTAGTCTACACACATTTAGAAGGTTAAGGCCAATGTAAAAGAGTAAATGCACATGCTTTTTTATGTTAATGTGATTAGTGTGTGGGTTTTAACTGTGAACAATAAAAACATGAACGAACAGATATAAAGAGAAGGGACATTTACAGGCATATTACATAAATGTGTCGATATGGAAGATTTCATTAAGTAAAAAAAGATAAGAAATATTCTGACACAGAATGACAGCTGAGGGGAGAGGAAGTATGCTTCATAAGGAACCTAACAATATTTCACTGCAAGCTGAACAAGTCTGACAATGGGGTACAAGTGTGTGGGACGAGGTATTGTCATAAATCTAAAGTAAATGAAATTGATATTATTTAAGGAAATCTAAAACGGCTTAAAAACAATGTAACATTTAATAAATACAATTAATTTCATTTGAGTTTTTGGTAACACTTTATTTTGATCGTCCATAGTTAACACTCTACAAGTCATCAGTTGACATTCAACAACACTGTTTCAACAGACAAGTAACATGCATGTAACTACAGTAACTGCCAGTAGAATATAAGGTACATCTCAAGTGTTGATCTATAGATTTTACAAAAAGTGTCTGTTGACTGTCAACATGTTTTTTGCAACAGGTTATTAACCGATATTCAAGCTTACTATCTGTAGATTGTGAGTTCTTGTGAAAAAACTTTTTTTCTCAAGTGAATGCATTAGGCTTCTGTATTTATCTTATATATTAGTCAAATAAAACAGGAACAGGTGTTTCTAACTCAAACATTACATACATAATGAATAAATAAAGTTTGTGATCAGTTGTGCAAAACATTTTGCTTTATTCCCATGTCTGTTGCATATAATTAGTGGATGAATGTATGTGTTCTGTTGATAGGCTATAGACTTTCTACTGTTCTCAACTGTTTTTCACTTTAATTGGATAGTCCTAACACATGCCTACAAACGCTTAGTGGAGAATGCCTACTAAAAGTATACTGATAGTCAACTCTAGTTTAGTTGACGATCAACAGATAGTCAACTAAACTCTAAAGTTGCTTATCTGTTGATCATCAACTAATGCTTAATGTAATCTTTAGTTGACATCTTGACTCTCAACAGATTATCAACAGATAGTCGACATGACCCTGTTCACTTTCAACTGACAGATTGATTTTGAGTAGTTGATTGTCAATTTTGAAGATGTTGACACAATCTACAGATAGTAAGGTTGAATATTGGTTAATACGCTGTTGACATGCTACTAAATGTCAACTGATGACTTATAGAGTGTTAAATATGGACTATCAAAATAAAGTGTTACTGAGTTTTTCTTAAGTTATTTATCAAAAAGTAAAGGTGACAGCTTGGATTTATGTCACCTTTTGTGGCATTTAACCACAGGATTTGGTGATGATGATATGCTGCAAATGCTTCACATGACTAATTCTTATCGTGGATCAAAAGCTTGGGTCTGATGTTAACCAACTTGAGTTGGTTTCTTCTAACTGTGGTAGTTAAAGAGGACCCACATTAATCAATTCATCCAAAACTCCCTTTCAGACAAACAGCTGCACGTCATTTTCTTCTTCCATAGTGGCAATACTGGGACACTACCAGTGGACTCATAGTAATATTTGTTGCATTTAAATCCCCAGAGGAGCTGCCATAAAGCAGAGCACGTCATTGTTCACCATGCGCTCATTTAACAGGGCCAGTACGTCATTACCGTGTACCATAGAGGGAGTATCTGGAGCCGATAACATAGCTGAGTTGTGGAGGCAACATTACTCTAATATACTTAATTGTGTTAAAAGTGACCCCTACAAAGTTGGTAATGTTGTGAAGAGTGACACAGTGGGAATCACAGCTAAAGAGGTTTATCGAGCAATTGCACAGCTAGCTGATAATAAACCTTGCGGCTCTGACCGAATCACTGCAGAGCACCTTAAACAGGCAAGCCCGAAGGTTGCAGTTCTTCTTGCCATTTGTTTTACCGGCCTCATGACTCATGGTATGTTGCCAGACTCCATGTTGACTGTTACTTTGGTGCCTGTCATTAAGGACAAAGCGGGCAAGGTAGGGAGCTTGGATAACTATAGACCAATTGCTCTAGCCAGTGTGTTATCCAAAGTCTTGGAAAGAATTTTGTTAGATAGACTATGTTCCTATTTATGTACCTCAGATAACCAGTTTGGCTTCAAGGCTAAGCATGGTACTGAGCTATGCATCTATGCTTTGAAGGAAATGGTAGAAACATATAGAAGACAGAATTCCACTGTTCTGATTGGTTTCATTGATGCCTCTAAGGCTTTTGACCGAGTTAACCACCATAAACTGTTTTTAAAATTGAGACAAAGGGGTGTGCCTAACAGTATAATTAGGATCCTGGCTTATTGGTATGCCAACCAGAGCATGCGGATCAAATGGGGGAATGCAGTCTCTGCGCCATTTGGTGTTGGTAATGGAGTCCGCCAGGGGGGGCTCCTCTCACCATGCCTTTTTAATATCTATATGAATGATCTATCAGATGATTTAAGTGTCTGTAAAACACGGTGTGTGATTGGTAATGTGATTGTAAACCATCTTATGTATGCCGATGATCTGGCTATTGTTTCTCCTAGCAGTGCTGGTTTTCAACAGTTGCTAAATGTTTGTTCTGATTACGGAGTCAAATTTGACGTTAAATACAATGCTAAGAAGAGCGCTGTAATGATCTGCAGAGCACAAGGGGATAAGAACCTTTGTTTTCCAACATTCTACCTGTCAGGACAGGTGCTGTCTGTTTGCTGTAACACTAAGTATCTGCTGTCTGTTTGCTGTAACACTAAGTATCTGGGACACATCATCACAGATGAAATGGCTGATGATGATGACATGTATAGACAGCGGCGTGTCTTATATATGCAAGCCAACATGTTGGCTAGAAAACTCTCTTGGTGTTCAGATAAGGTTAAGGTGAACCTCTTTAGAGCTTATTGCACTCCTCTCTATACTGCCCCCTTGTGGGTCAAGTATAAGAAGGCAAGCCTCAAGAAGCTCCAGGTTGCATATAATGACTGTTTGCGTATACTGCTTAGAAAACCAAGGTGGTGCAGTGCAAGTGAAATGTTCTGTAACGCACGAGTCAACACGTTCCATGCTCTTTTGAGAAATCGAATGTACAAATTCATCTGTCGATTGAATGTTTCTCATAACTCTGTCATTATGCTGCTTTCAAATCCGTGTTTCAGTGCTGTGCGATACCAGTCACCTCTGTGGAAACATTGGTATAACTGCCTTTTTTAATTTATATTTGAGTGTTGTATGTTTTTTGTAATAATGGACCAAGAGTCTCTTTAAATAAAAGATGATGATGATGATGATTAACATATTATAAACAAATACATATTTTGTCATTTCTAATCTCTACGGCTTTCTTTCTACCAAAATTGTAGGGCAATATTGAGAAAAGTTAGATGTAAATAAAACATTCTTTCACGCGTACCTGAGATCCAATGGATTTTATGATGTAATCTCTCTCCTCCTTGCTGATTCGACGGTCGGTGCGAGGGTCATCAGATACGAAGATAAACCAGACGACTGCCCAGAGGCAACCAGCAACACCTGAGGGAAAGAGAAAGAAGGTTTGATTGGATATAGTAATGAATAAATAAAGCAGGGTTGACAGTGAAGGCCTGATGTCATAACAAAATCAAACGTTGAAGAAGCTGTGAGCAAATAGAGACGAACAACTTCTAAGTTTGACAAAAAAATGTGTACTGGTCATTTTTCAGCTTAAAAAACAAAGGCTTAAATCCCTGTGTCTCTTCCAGAGGGAGTTTTTCTCTCTCCCCCCCCTGCCGGAATTGGACTCCTTTGTTTACTTCCGTAAGATAATTACATCACTGGGTGTTTCTCAATGTCGAGTAAAGCTGCTCCAGAGCCACTATTTCAAGCATACTACGTCATCGAGTGGCGCCGAAGGACTGTTCCAATGTCCAGCATACTTGGAATTCTACCGAGCCCGGCGTACTTCGTAGCGAGAAAATTCAAAGCTGCACATGTGTAGACTCCGGTCTTAAAATCCTTACAATGCTTTGGGCACGGACCAATTTCCCCAAATCCGTGGCGGAAAAAGTAAGACGGGGCCTCTGAAGCACACCTGCACACTTGCTCGCCTGTTCCACTCTTCGTTTTCCGAATGCCAGGAAGTATTCTTGCCTCGCTTCTGAAGCAAGTGACTCGGAAGACATGTGCTACCAAGCAAGCGTGCTCGACATTGAGAAACACCCACTATATGTAACACTCGCGCTTCTATTGGGTAGCGCTCTGACACATTGTACATGACAGGCTAAGGGGCGGGACATCTCTAAGTTGTTGAACAATCCCAACAGAGCTGGACAGCTAACCAATCAGAGCAGACTGGGCTCTGGTTTCAGACAGAGGGTGAAAAGAGGTGCTGCAGCACAGGCAGTATGACAACAATACCTTTTTGAACATTAAAGCATGGAATCATCTTACAGTCCAGCTGTTAACGTGTTTGCATGAAGGTAAAACGTCACTTCTCATCATTTGATTGCTAGTGTTTAACCAGACACACCTTAGCGTTCTAAAAATATGTAACTGATTACAGCGTTTTTGGGTTAACCGTTTTGTTCAGCATCTACCACCATGGCATCTTTCCTGTGAGAGACTAATGTATGTTTTGAGGAAAGTGTGTGATTGTGTTTGGTTCCCGTGCTCACCACAGAGGTAGAAGACAGCCGGCCAGCCTAAGCTTTGGGAGATGAGGCCGGTGAGAGGCAGAACAATGAAGGCCCCAAAGCTTCCCCCAGACGCCGACAGGGTTATCAGGCGAGAGCGCTCCGGAGGGGGAGCCCAGCGAGCCCACATCGACATCATGGCCGGGAACGTCACTCCCTGAGGGGACATGGGGGAGACAGCAGAGAGGGAGAGAGCAGAGAGGGAGACAGCAGAGAGGGAGAGAGCAGAGAGGGAGAGAGCAGAGAGGGAGACAGCAGAGAGGGAGACAGCAGAGAGGGAGAGAGCAGAGAGGGAGACAGCAGAGAGGGAGACAGCAGAGAGGGAGACAGCAGAGAGGGAGACAGCAGAGAGGGAGACAGCAGAGAGGGAGACAGCAGAGAGGGAGAGAGCAGAGAGGGAGACAGCAGAGAGGGAGAGAGCAGAGAGGGAGACAGCAGAGAGAGAGGAGAGACAGAGAGGGGAGAGAGCAGAGAGAGGAGACAGCAGAGAGAGGAGACAGCAGAGAGGGAGACAGCAGAGAGGGAGACAGCAGAGAGGGAGACAGCAGAGAGGGAGAGAGCAGAGAGGGAGAGAGCAGAGAGGGAGACAGCAGAGAGGGAGAGAGCAGAGAGGGAGACAGCAGAGAGGGAGACAGCAGAGAGGGAGAGGGATTAGAACATTTTTTTGTTCATATCAAATGTGGCCGATTAGCAATAAAAGGTTACATATGTCTCCTGCACAAAAATACTTCACTTTGTTTATTTTACCAGCTGATCAGGGTGATTTGAAGCAATGCTAGCTCCGCCCCCTGGATGCTAGGTTTGTTTCATTCCAAATATTAAAAGACTGTTGGTTCACAAGAGTGACTGTGTAAATGAATTCGGGATTATGTTCAAATAACTTGACATAATGGGCAATAAAAGCTATTTTTAAAACCTTCCAGGTTCTTTATTTTTTACAAATTCTGTAATCAAGAAAATAATCAGCAGATGAATCAATAAATAAAATGTGTTAGTTGCAGCTCTGGTGTACAATCAACTTAAACTTAAAAAGGGAAAAAGGCTTTTCTCTCAATCACAAACTGTTCACACAACTATTGAAATAATATGTTGTTTACAAGGATTACAATAAGAAAAGGCTTTTAAAGAATTAGCTTTACTATTAAATTACCTTTTTGTAAAGGTGGTTGAATATACTGTGTGGTTCAACTGGTGTGGTGAAGCCTTAATCATAGACAATTCCTCTAAAAGAAAAGGTTTGCGTGAGAAAAACTACGTGCCTGATTTAAAACATACTTTGAAGAAGGGTGTAGCATGGGCCAAGTAAGAACCCATTACATTTTGGAGAAGACCCTGATTATAAATTCGAAGTACACAGACAGAAACGTTACACACTTCTTATGCTACAGCCTCCTGCGCTCAGCTCATCACTCTCACCTCCGCGATGCCTTCCAGCACTCGTAGTGCAAACAGCCAGTGGGACCCCATCTGAGCAGCCAGAGGGGTGAGCAGCGTGAGGAAGGCAGTGACCAGCACCCCGACACCCAGGAAGATACTCCCCCCATAGTGATCCGACAGGTAGCCCCCCGGGATCTGTGTGCACAGGTATCCGAAGAAGAAGGCCCCCAGCAGCCAGCCCTGAGTCTCCGAGTCCCAGGGGTACTGGGGGATCTGGGAGAGGAGGAAGGGAGGCATTAGACTGTTGACAGGCCACATACTCATTTAATATGATGTTTACCCTCCAGGCAAAGGTGGTCCACTTCCAAGTGTGTGATAGAAGTTGTATACAATATATATTTGTGTTAAATGTGTAAGTTATTGTCTTTTTTACATTTAAAGCTTCCATTGAGGTTTTTTGGATATTTGATGTAGTCATCAGCGGAAAACAAAAAAATAAAAATGTATTAAATAAAAAAGCTTCAGTTTGAATGAAAAGACTAATTGGATGAAATTAGTACTTTTTATTAATTCAACTTTATTAAATTAATCTTTTTAACAGAACAAACACATTTGTTTCGAAGCAAGGTCTTAATATTTGACTAGCGTAAAACATGTTGGGAATTTTGGTAATCATTACATAAAACTTTTTCAAAACAGGTTGACTTTTGGATGTTTTGTATCGTTTTGAGTAAAAAACAGTCCTACAAGCCGCCACCACATAATATTAGCCTGCAACTTTGCAAAATATTGAATTAAACAATGAAAAGGTGTGAAAAAAATGGTAATCTGGAACATTTATATTTAATTCATTTTGAAGTCATTAGCTTCCTCTCTAGTTACTCTTTTTACCGACTGAAAAGTACATTATTCAGTCAGATTTGCAGAGAGGTTATGACTTTCCTTACTTAATTCAAACAAAACATACACTCTGACTAACCAACTGATACCATATAATTTTGTTTACCAATGTTTTGTTCCAGACTACTCACGTGTTGTTATTGTTGGTCACATGATAATGAGTGGAAGGGGAGATGTATTTATATCATGTATATAATGTAGTAAATACACTGCCGTCCAAAAATAAAGTCACCAACTGGATTCAACTAAGCCAATCTATAGGAGCCTTCAATTGGATAATTACTGCAGTGATGAAAATGTTTCAGCCTGCAACAAGTTATTTAACCCCAGCTGTTGCAGTCTCATTTCTTAAACCACAATGTCAGAAGAAGCCATATCCTGTGGTCGTGGAGAGGATGTTAATCAGTTTCAGAAGGGTCAGATTATTGGCCTGCATCAACCAAAGAACACAACTAATATAAGGAGATTGTTGAAACTAATACATCACTAAATCAATGAATCCAGATTTACCCTCTTCCAGAGTGATGGGCGCATCAGGGTAAGAAGAGAGGCGGATGAAGTGATGTACCCATCATGCCTAGGGCCTACCGCACAGGCCTGTTGGGGCAGTGTTAGGATCTTGGGTTGCTGCAGTTGGTCAGGTTCAGCAACGTTATGTTCCCAAAGAATGAGGTCAGCTGATTACCTGAATATATTGAATGACCAGGTCTTTCCATCAATTGAGTTTTTCTTCCCTGATGGCACGGCCATATTCCAAAATGACAATGCCAGGATTCCTTGGGCTCACATTGTGAATGAGTGGTTCAGGGAGCATGAGACATCCTTTACAAATGGATTGGCCCCACAGAGTCCAGACCTCAGCCCCATTGAGAATCTTTGGGATGTGCTGAAGAAGACTGCAGCGGTGCGACTCTCCCATCATCAATACAAGATCTCGGCAGAAAGTTAATGCAACTCTGGACCGAAATACATTTTGTGACATTGCAGCAGCTTGTCGAAATGATACCACGGCGACTGCATCCTGTAATCAAAGCTAAAGGCGACCCAACTAAATATTAGAGTGTGTGACTTTCCTTTTGGACGGGCAGTGTATAATGTGTACTGACTGTTACCCCTGCAGGTTGATGGAAAGAGTTGCTGCTGTTGTCCCCTCCGGGTGGCAGTGGACAGGCAGAGACCACCGAGCTGTTCAGGGCTGGTTTGGGTTCAGTGGTATTCACCATGGCTACCATGGCAACACTGAGGTTGACACGGAGCCCGTAGACCATGGAGAACCCGCAGAACATCAGGAAGGCCAGGTTGAGGCGCGCCGAGCAGCACTGAGGAGGAACTGAGCACACAGAACATACAACACAAAGATTCTTACATGAAGGGAGGACTGTGAGAACAGTCAATGTGAAAACCATTTGAAATGATTCAGATCCATTTTGACTTTCGCTTCTTTTATCTATTGAGAAGGTTATCTTATCTTAAGATCGGAATCTTATAAGAACTATATCTTCTGAAGCTAAAGTATAACAAATCAGAAAACAAGCTCCGGTATTACAAGATGGTATTATGCTGGTTTTTAAGATAATGACACTCACCTATATATAATATTTAAAATAACGAACATTTTAACAGCATTTGATGTTAAATTGATATCTAGTTAATCGTGTATTCAATTCCAATCCAAATATTGGCATTGCATTTGACGTGTGTAGCCAGAGCACACTTACTTTTAGGAAAGACAATCAATGAACAAAAATTAAATTCAATGACAATTTAGGTTAAAAGAAAAACTAAAGCTAAGTAAATAATAATATAATTATACTGTATACATAAAATAAGTAAACAAATGAGTGATATAATGCAAGAAATACAAGTCAATATGCTGGCACATGACTTCTTATGTTTATATGATATTAATTGTTTTTATCTTTATTTGACAGATTACTTAAATATATTATGTTTACATATCTTATTTTCTCCTTTATTCCACATTTTAATTTCTTTATTATACTCGAATGGAACAACTGTCATTAAAACCAGTGTTCCTGATGCTGATGAATCTACTTATGACACAAAACATACAAACATTATACACTTTAAATGCAATGTTTGAACAAAGCAGTAAATGCAGCTTAAGGGCAGACACTCAGCTACCCCAGTTTTCTGCAGCATCATCACTTTTCCTGCAGTCACTTGATGGTCAGCTGCCTCATAAAACCTTACATAAGAAGTGGCAGGGGGGTGCTGATCTACATACGATAGCATAACATAATAAAGTAAATGACATGTTTTTAATATACAGCCAGCATGACTGCCAACTCTCTTTTTTCATGTTGAAAACAGAAACAAAACATAAACTATATTTCATTAAAGCCAAAATAAAATGTTTAATGTCAGGAAGAGTGAATGGCTTTGACAATGAGTTTTGTCTAATTATTTCTTGACATTTATATACACTGTTGTCCATAAAGTTGGAATAATTTTGTTCCCAGACACATTCCTCTTGTTATTCCTATTTACACACACAATCCTCTTAATGAAAAGAGTGTATATACATATTTTCTGATTGGTTAGTTTTTCTGCTCATTTTGTTTGTTTGTTTCTCTATATATATATATATAATATCATTGTAGTCTTAAATATAATTGCCGCAAATGTTCATTTTAATTTGTATCCTATGTCTCTTTTAAACATTTTTAACATTGGATAAATAAAGTATATATCATCTATCTATCTTATTCTTAGTAGCTTCTTGACCTCTCCTGACTCTTTCATAATTTTTTCACTTTCTTAATTTTTTGCAGTCTTATGTGTGTGCAAATAAGAAATAGTGAAAATGTGTCAATTTATCTTAGGTTAAAGGTGGGGTAGGTGATTTTGGAGAAACCAGCTCGAGTGCGCTAGAATTTGAAAATACACAACCGGAAAAAATCTGCCACTTCCTCACAGAGCCCCTCCTCCAACACACACAAACGCGCACATGACCAATGAGGGCACGAGATAAGTTTGTGCACAGATGGAAGGCTGACAGGCAGACAGGCCATCCAGTTATTTTAGCCGGGCCGGCTAAAATGATTGGTCTTGCTTTTTACAGTACTACGGCTTCCACAGATGACATTTATTTATGGATTTGTTGTCAAAGCACTTAAGATATTCATTGCTATCGGGATGTTAAGAGCATTCCATGGAATATAACAAAAAGTGTATCTCGAGCCGGTTTCTCAAATGTACCTACCCCACCTTTAAGATAATAGTAAAATGTAGTTGTTTGCTTGGACAAAATGTACAGAGCAAACGATAAAATACAACGACAGGCAGTTTAATTGATAATGAAGATAATTGCTGGGTGCAGCCGTAATGAATACACATTCTAAAGTGCTGTAAAAGATACACATACTTGGATCATTGTCGATGAGGGGTTCAGTGTCCTCGCCTTTGTCCAAAGGGGCCGTGTTGATGGAGTTGCCATCGGGTAGCGGCATGGCACTCTGGAAATATTAAGTGGGTAAAAGGATGTCTGTGAGCATTGGTGGCCACGCAACCTGCTGAATGGAAGATGTTAGTTGTTTAAAACAACAATGACGCACAACTGGGAAGTGAGAAAAACACATGACTCAGACAAATCAACACAAGAACACAGCACATAAAAGCCTCACCAAACATGATCTTACCAGAGTTACTGATGCTCGGGATGGATTCACTGCAGAGGGAGAGTGATGATGGAGCTCAGCATGAGTTTGTCTCTTTATTAAACTGGAACCTGTGAACAAAAAATAAAAGGTCACATTACAACAGAATACACTTTGGTTCTTCTATCGTCAAAACATCTCATTTTCAATAGAGTTGCAAAGATTATTCGACGTTATGAATCAAACCTATTCATTGCTAAAGTAATGTATTCGCTAAAATTGCGGATAAAACTGTTTTCAACCTCTGCAATATGAAAATGTTCAACCTTTTCTCATTTTAAAGTGGATACCAAGACATCCGAATCAGCCTTTTTCTGTCATTTTATATACAGTACCTATTGATAATCAGTAAATCTAGAAAATAATCACTTTATCGTTTAAATAAATCATTACAATAATATCTACCTGATTTAACTATTGCTTACTGTATATAAACTAATTGTATTCAGTCATTCTTTCATTCATTCTTAAAAATAAATAAAAATGCCAGATCCTACTTCCTAAATGTTTTTGTTATGACCTGGCTTAAAAGGCCACAGCAAAGAGGAGACACCATATCAACGGTTTAACAAAATATGTTTATTAAAGCAAGTAGTTCAAATTAGCCAAACTAATTACGTGCAAAACAAGTAACACATGAGGTGGGGATGTCAGTGGTATCAGCAGTGTAAATGCAGGGTGAGGATTGCATGGACATGTATGAGTGTGAGAGTGTTGAAGTGCACAAAGTGAAGCAACTGAGAAAACTCATAAAATACTCAACCGAAACCAGGTGCCTGTAGGGGAAAGCAGAGAGGGCAGACAGAGAGGAGCAGAGGCGTTAAATAGCTGCAGGGCACCAGACCCAGGTGCCCTGAGTTACTGCAATCAAGGCAATCAAGACAGCACAGACAGCACAGCCACACCCTCTCTAGATGAACCCACAGGGGCATCACATCTGGATTGATGCTTTTTACATTGTTTAAGTATGTTTGAATATATTTGGGTTTGGGGATTGTTGGTTGGATTGAAATTGTAATATTAAGTCACTTTTGCCTTTATAAGTGATTTTCACAGACATGGTGTAGACAAATCTTAAAAATAAATAATAATAATAATAATAATAAATAATCAGCACGTTGATCAAGAATAAGACACATTGCAGGTCTAATAGAGTGAACGTAATTAAAAAAGTAATGAAATAGCTGCTATAAGTGATATGAGGTAGATTTGTCTAATAAGGTAAACGTTTTTTTAGGGCAGAATGTAATCGCTGAGTCGTTATTGTGAGTTTCACTTCCCACTCAAACTTGCTGCTGTCAAGCTTTAAAAGGCAATGAAGTGTTGACTCATGAATTATGCTGTTATTTAGGAACTGATGATGAAAAAATACTACAGAGCTTGTTAATGCATTTTCTGAAAGATAAAAAAAGGTTTTTGGGGCTGGAGCTGAGTTACATAGCACTAAGAGGTGAAGATTTCTCAAGAGAGTGGATAAACAGATATCACACTCAATAACAGGACTGGATCGTCTGAAGCAGCTGATCTGAGGTCATCACAACAATAAACACTGAGATTGATGCTGTATAAACATTATCACTACAGTTTCATCTCATTGAAAACAGAAAACATCTGATCTGAGAGATGTGTCAACTACCTAAAACGGCTAACTGCTTCTGAACACAATGTGTTAGTCAGCAGCACATAGCAGGCAAACACTGGAGACATACACCAAGGCCCTTTCTCATTTCATCAAATCCCCCTCCTCGACTCCTCGGTCCTCCGGTAGTGACCCGGAAATGAATTTCAGCTCGCCATGTTGAAGGACATCTCATTTCTCTAAATGCATTTCGAGGACCGAGGATCGAGCGTCGAGGAGTCTCTCTGGAGGAGCTATAACCGAGGATACACTGATGGGTCCTCCACGGTCCTCCACGGCTCCTTCGTAGATGCATTTCCGGGAACAGAGATGTTTCAAAGAGTCGTGACGCACGGCCGGACTTATCTCAGCCAATGACAGCTCTGCATGCATCCCCTGGATATTATTTTATTAACTGCTTTCATCGCGACGTGATGTTTCCAGAGGGAACAGCTGTGAGGTCCGTGCAGAAAGCAGAGCAGTGTGTATAATATATATCACTCAGTATAACGGGCCTACTCTCTTTATTTGCTTTAGTTTAGTAGATATCTACAAACAAAGAGTCCATATTTTTCTAAAACCATTAGTGCTTCACATAATAAAATACACAACGGCTGTTAGCTGTCGGTGCGTGTGTGTGTGTGTGGTACACTGTGTGCGTAGATGCAGCGGACAGACAGGTCTCAGAGAGGAGGGGGGGATATATCCAGTCTCTGATAGTGTTACGTTATTATGAGTGCTCTGTTTGATTCTGAAATTGTATACATATATATATATGTGTGTGTGTGTCCCCGCATCTGTAGCCTGTTATTGTCTCATTATACCGCACTGTGAATGAATCAAAGTAAATATATAAGTCGTCATGAACACATGTGTCCATCAGACAAGGGCTGCTGTGCCTCCTGTCATCATTAATGGACGTCTCTTTAAAATGACCGCTCAGAGGAGAGGAGTTCTCATTTCTCTAACCGCCTGCTGGGTTGCGTTCCGATAATCCAAAAATCAGCTCCTAAATTCTAACCATATCTCCTATTCCTTGACCTCTGAGTGAAACGTCACGGGGTTAAGGGATAGTGGATAGGAGAATTCAAAAGGATTTAGGAGAAGAGACTGCACTTTCACTATCCGACGTGTTTATGATGCGCCAGCGGACGTCATGAATGTGCGTCTGCTGCTGTGGGGAAACTATGGAAACTACAGTTTTCTATACAGCGGACTACAACATGGATGTATAATAAGAACGAGGGACTACTGTAAACTCATCTAGAGACTCTGCACCGTGCTCTGATGCTGTTGCTTTATGCTTTATGAACGTGGACAACAGAGAAACATATTCTTCATGACCAAAGTTGGAATTGAAATAAAAAAGGAAAGTAAAACTTATGCTCTCACCCTCTCCCTCCGGTCCACATGAATACAAATGATCCCGATACGTATGATTGTATGAACTATGAAAAGATCTTAAAATCAATACAAATGTATTTATTATAAACGTTAGTCCTTAACATCTATCACTGTGTATATCACCATTCAAACATCTTTTAAAAGTTGAACAAACCCCACACAGCTCAGTAAAGACTGTGAGATGTTGACTTTATTTGATCATTTCAGTAAAAACTAACGTTCATATTTCTCTTTTTGATTATAATACTGATGAACGTTCAGAACAAAGCACTTTGGCAACTTACCACATACGTTTTAAAATGCTTAATAAGCCTCGTAACTTTCATGATATCATTTCTCCGTCATAATCGGTTGTTTCCGTGAACGGCCGACTGTTGTGATGGCAAATGCTGCGGCTGCAATGCATTGTGGGGCAGCATTTTCTCCTCTCCTTTTGGTTAGGGAGGTCCAGTGGTTCCTAAGCTAAAGGAGGTTATAAAGGAAGTTTGAAACCTCCTTTCCTTTCATTTGGAGAATTGGAACGGCACTTATCATGGCTGCCAGTGACGTACTTCCGGGTCATTTCACTCCGTTAGGAAGGTTCCTAAGCTAAATGGACTATTGGAATGCAACCCCGCTTCCCCTCCTCTCTCCTCGGCTCCTCGGCTCGCATCTCGAGGATAGGAGTCGAGGAGGGGAGTTAGAGAAATGAGAAAGGGCCCAAGTGTCATCACTCATTTAGCCTCAAACATAGCCTACTAATCACAATTTCTTAAAGACCCAAAGTAATTTCTTCAAAAAGCATGAACAACTCCAACATTTAAATATATCCACTTAAACATCACATATGACTTTAACAATCATTTGATTATGCAGATGATGCAATTTATTTTCTGACTTTCAAAGTTGTTTTTTCATTTGTCTTACTTTTTAAAAAAAACAGTTGGACGCAGTTACAGTAAATGCCAATGTGTGTACAAGAAGAAAGGAGTCCAACTGTAAAAACTGTCTGTGTGGGAAGACAGGTTGCACAACATATATAATGTTCAGGGTTTGCTTTGATCGGGATTCCAAAAACATGTCCCGACTCGATATACTTTGAATTGCTCTCACAATAGTATGCAACTCTGGAGTTTAACTACTGGAAATGTGCTGGAGATGCATATGTCTGTATTAGGATTCGTCCTGATTTATCCCTGAAGAATATACTGTTTATCAGATTTACTGTCATTGATTTGAAGATGTCACTGCTACCCCTTATAAAGCACAGTGGAAACCCTTATATTAACACTGTTATCAATTCTACTTCCAAGACAAACGTTCATAGATTTTTTCTCCCATTTCTTTATTATGTTATCCTTTAATTTCAATGGATGTTTTTGCTGGACTGTTTCATTTTTGTTGTTGTATTTTCTGTATATTTGAGGGCAATTTGTAAAAAAATAATTCAAAATGTTTGATACAAATAAAGTTTATTTGTATTATTAAATGTTAGTATTTACTCTGCCAAAAAATAATTTAAAAATAAAATATATCAGCAACAAGTTGTAGCAATGTTGTATGCATGCCATAGCATATTTGACCATGTAAACAGCCCAACTATCTGAAACAATGATTGTATTATGCAAAATAAACTGTCTTTGTTCTTTTTTGGCATGCTTTTGAGGTTTTTATCTTTGTCTGGACCCCAGGAAGCTGATGCTCTTAGTCAGGTAATGAAAATCAAAAAAATCCTAATGTCTGTTTTGTGCCAAGTATCAGACATACACAGAAACTCATGTTACACAGGTCAGTGAGTATTAACCTTTATATATATATATACAGTCTATGGTATTAACACAAGACCACATCCCTGAACATGCTAGGTAAGTGTTGACTACAGCATAGTTTAGTTACTGATGTTTACTACTTTTATTACAATTACTATTTCGTGAAATACATCTTACCTTGTGAGGGTTTTCAAAGCATTGACAATCGATTAAGGCAGCCTGAACGTTACAGAAAATAAAACATACAATGTATCATGTCCATTTTGCCATAATCTCAGCCGGCGAGAAAACAACTGAACCGTGTTGCTATTTTTCCCCACTGGCAGAGAAAAACAGTCACATGACGAGGCAGCCTAGATCTATAAAACAATGGACTGGCTAGCTACACCTGCGTTATCACTGTTCACAGCAGAGCCCTTATGATCTATAGATCTGTTGTACGGATGTGACGTAGGGCACACGACGAACAGCTTGCACGCCCTCTCTCGAGCTTCCTTAGCTTGTACAATTAATAAAAAACGAAAAACATAAATATTTAAACGTATTTTAACAGGTGGACAGTTTAATTTATTCCAACAAAAAGTGTATCTACAAAACAAGTCAATGAAAAAAGTGTTTTCGGCAGCCGTTTTAATGTGTTGTTATGGCAACGAACCCACCTCCTGTATGTTGTAAACTCACAAACATACAGCAGCTTAGAGTTATACACCTGTCGCCCATTTTTAGACATCTGTAAAATACACAGCTATCCTCGCACCCATGGCCCACTACAGAGTAAGCACCCGGTTTCTTTCTATAGCTGGTATTTGTTTCTGCTCGCTAAATAAATGCTGTAGTTGCTCGTGTGAAGAATGTGCTAACTAGTTAGCATGGTGAAGCAGTTAACTGCCCTCAACCGGAGTCTGGAAGTTATTTATCCACAATTGTTTTCTTAATGGATAAACCAGTCAGACGTGTGCTATTAACCTTCAGTGAGTCAAAGAGTTTGTGATAGTCAAATATGAATCTTGTGTTTCAGGCCCCGGAATCGAAGAGAGAACAGTTTAGAAGATATCTTGAAAAATCCGGTGTCCTTGACAGTATAACAAGCGGTGGGTATAAAAGCTATTCAGATCCAGTATTGTAGCATTTAGGGGACAAAGGGATGGTTATAAAACCTTTGACCAAGAGGGTCCATCCTGCATGGGAAATGTCAAAGCTGTGTGAAAAATTGCGCCTATTTACCACCAAAACACTGCTTTTCAGCTTTGAAAGTGATGTTTAAGACCACATTTATATTTAAACTAAGTGCTGATATAGATGGATTTTAAATTATGTAATTCATATTCGATTAGAATGTATTTTAGGTAAACAGTTAGATTAACATACGCTATGGGGTATATAGACATAAAGTAGGCCTATACTTTATTATTCTAAAGTTTTTTTAAATGTCAGCACCAGGTTTATTTGTTAAGGGCAAATACAAACAGAGCTCTTCGTTTAGGACTAAGTTATACAAAAAAAGTTTCAGAAACAGCTCACTAATGTGGATGTGGATGTCATTCTTAAAGGAAGGCAAACGTGAGGAGTGAATAATTTGTATTCTTGGGGAATTTGTGGTGTTGTCTCATCACTTTTCTTTATTCTTAATCCTTAATTTGAAAGTTTACCCCTGTAATGGGGCGGGTTACAACAATGGCACACTTTAGTCATTATTTGATTGATTTGGTAAGACAGGTAACATTGCTAATTGTAGCTCCCACACAAGGAATCCTGAAGTAAGGCACTGAACCAAGAAGTGTTTACAACCATCCACTGTCTCCTGTACATTTGCAATCAGTGCATGTTGTTGCGCCTATCCATCAAGTGGCATGATATCTCTGTTGTGCTGCTTCATCACTGTTTTGTTTCTCTTTTTGCAGTATTAGTGGCACTTTATGAAGAGGCCGACAAACCTGACAATGCACTGGAGTATCCTTTTCTCATGTGTGCAGCTTTACAGAGCCATTAGGGTTTACAAGCCTAATTTACACTAGCAGCAACCCTCAGTGCACACACCCATTCACACTG